TATAGCTATCTATAGCTTGCAGCCTCCACTGGGGAAAACATCCGGCCTCCACTGAGGTTGGCTCCTCGAAGGTCTGCACCTTTCCTGGGAGTCTGAACGGATTGGTCAGAAAGAATGCGCTAGGTCGTGGATGCTTTGCTACTATTGGGTTTGCTGAGTCAATTGCATTATTTGGTGGCATTTGTTTGTTCAAAACCTAGCATGGTGGATGCGTCCGAAGACTTCTAGGTGCGAGTGAGTTAGATATGCAAGGAGCATCACCGAGCTACTTATTGAATGCGTCACTGAACTGGTTGCACAGCTCAGTTCTTCAGCTCGCGTCACAGTCTCTTTTCTCCCTCTTCCTCCGAGCAATCAAATACCACAGGGAAATTGGTATCTAGTCTAGTTATTAATACACCTTGGTGTGATCGCCCAAATGCTGCCAAGCGGCCACGGTGCACCCACCAAGGACACCTCCGCAGCACACAAAAGCGATGCCGCTGTGGCAGAGGCACCACCGAAGCCTTCTTTGGCCAAGCGCGAAACGATCACCAGGCTCTGCAAGCCTTCCTGCAGCCGGCTCGATCGCCTCACCACCTGAGCACACGTGGTGCTCGATCGCCGGTAGTTTATTCATGTTCCGGGGTCAACCACTCAAGAAGCATCAAAAAGTTATCCTAGCAAGAAGGAAAATATTTCCAGCATTGTTGTCGTTGTTGCTGTTGCTCCCAGCCTAATTACTTGAGCAACAAAAGTTAACTTCCAATATGATTTGGAGCCTCCTTCACTTGTATATTAAGTGAACTGCTTTATATAACTTCCTGGATGTCCAGAAGCGGAAGCGCCCGAGTGTCATCTTCCCAAAGGCCAAGCCACCGGAAGCAGCAGAGACAGATCTTGAACCATCTGTGGATCCAGCATTTGGCTCAACGACATTGCCTTGCACAGCATCTGTCGAAACGAGCTGAATAACTGTTGCCCTGTCCATGCAGCCATCTGGGGTAGGAGATGATGCTTATCCAGGTTTCCTGCGGTCAGTTCAACTTGCAGCCTGCTCGAGAGACTGGAGCTATTCTGATTCATACTGGAGAGTAGGGCTGCAGTGGACACAAATGGTAGAGATTCACCGCAAGCACGCAAGACCTCTTCAACCTTGGACAACAGAGCAAGGCTGTCACATCCGAAAAAGAAATGGTTTGGTTAGTAACTCTAGCTTCAATGAAAGCAACACCGCGCGAAAACTGATGGTGGAAATTCCCAACGCTGCCTGAAAACCTTAAGAAGAAGGTAATGCTGTGCGATTGGCCACAAGTTAAAGATAAGCCACTGCAAGGGTCGTCTGAAGCACCAAGGCGGAGGACGCGGCAAGAGCTTCGTGCGTCAAGGTGGTCACAATCAAGCGCGCCACGAGGAAGGGACCGCAGCTGTTCTCCGTAAAGCGCCAAGATCGATCGACGAACTGCGTGATCACGGAGCGGCAGGCCATGCGCACGTGAGCCCACTCGGAACTGAACAGTCGATCCAAGATATCGGAAGTATCGCCTTGGTCGTGGTCGCCCAAAATCCCGCAGGGTTCGGCTCTTCCGCAACTTAGTCTGCGCTTAGTATGTGGGAAGCGGTAGCAAAGGCAAGGATCAACTAAGCAATCTTACGCAAGAAGGAATCCCCACTGAAGCGATCAGGCCAAGGCCACAAACCATGTGAAATGCGTCGACTCGACTCTGGAGGAAGGATGACTTTCAGGGACAAGTCAAAAGAACACCGAGATGAATTGGGCCATGATACTGCTGGCGCTGAGACCACACATTCGGTCCACCTGGTAAAATCGAATGCCTCGCTGACTGAACTCCACCGCGAGACGCTGGCAAAAAGAAAAGCAGCTCTCAGGGTCCAAACCAGCTTGAAGTAGCCTCGGACTTCATGAACAGTAGAAAAAGAAATCAGCATGTCCATTGCAGTTGAAGGCCTTGTTTGGGGTTTGTCGCTAAAAAATGCTGGAAGTCGCTGGAGTGCAACATGCGTTCTTGTCGGGACAGATCTTTTGTGTTTCTTCTGGTGGAATTCCCACACCCACCGAACCACCAACTCCTGCGAAAGCCGAAGATGAGATACAAGGGAATGACTTGAGAAGCCTCGCTGTGATAAGACATTCAATCTAAGAGAGCGAACGTCCACAGTCCACTGCGAGTTCTTCAATCCACCAAAATACAGTATGTCCCATGATCTGGACTGAAACAGAATTGCCTCGCAGCTTGGTATTCTTATTCACTTCATGTCCAATATATATTTACAAATGCAAATCTCTTATTGGACTTTCAGGCGAACCAATGAGTTTCAGAAGCACCTGTTGAGTTGTGGTCAAGGATCACAGCTTGGTCGGTTAAATGTGCTCGTGCTGCGGCCAACCAAAGACGCAAATCGCATGTCACTAAACATCATCTTGGAAACTCTGGCTTTGACATGGTCTCACGCCGGAAGTTGGTCTCCAACGTTGCTTCAATGAGGTCATAGTCCGTGAGGCGGAAGGGGATGCAAGCGCGACGCAGGGCATTGTAGCAGCCTGGAACGCTTCTCATGTCAATTTCCAATGCAAGTCCCATCAAATTGCCAAAGTGTTTGCTTGAGCCTTAGTCACAAATGAAACGAAACGGGATTGTTGTATAGAAAGCCAGGTCACAGGTCTGCCACGACTAAGCTAGTCAACGCGTGTGTTTGTCTGTGCTTCCCAACAAGTCCCAGAAACTAATGTTCTGAACAAAAAGAGGGATGCCTTGTCATGGACACCTACCTGTGACTTGTCTTTGCTGGCCTTCGGGGCAGGTTTGCCTTTCTTGCTAATTTTGGATGCTTGAACATGGATAGCCAACACCCAGGTGTGTTCTACTATCAACAGGTTGGAGGCACGTAACTGCTGGGATCACGCAAAATCGTGCGTAGCTTGGGTTCAGCGCGAACAAGATTGAAACATCGAATCAACAAAAAAAGATTCGGAAGCAGTGTTGAGTAGAAAATCGAGCTCGAGCTGTCCTGTCTCAGTATGAGTCATGAATGTGCCTGGCATCTTCAGCAGAACGTCTTTGAGGTCGTTCCAGGCATTGGAGAACTCCTGTGGCCTCGATTGTTTCAAAGGTCTGATGCAGTATCGAAAGGAATACCTACAAAATCCAAACAACCGGAAACCAATGGTTGTTCCAAAATGGCAATTGAAATCCTTTACATAAGAAATAGCTGCTTGGGGAAACATCCATTTCTTTCTGGTTGTTTAGGTTTCCCTGCAGTTGTGGAGTCAAATTTCCAACCGCATGTGCTGTCTCCAGAAGCAGATCGGGTGCACATAAGTCAGATGTTCTTGGTGGGGTTGATTGCTAGGTAGGACCCTTTGTGAAAGGAAACCCAGTTGGATGGAAATCAGCAAAGACTTATGGTTCTCCTTTGTGATCTCTCCTTCGTAAGATGTTCATCAGTGTACACCTCCTTTAAATTCCCAATCATGACATCAAACTCCATAATTTGGTTCATGCCGAGTCCGCGTTGGCTTTGGTTGGTGCAACGAGTTCTCCAACCAAGTTGCCTTTGGAAATTCTGGAATTGGTCCGCGAGTTTGTCCAAATCATCCGCAGAGAAGCTGCCATTGGCGGTCAAACGCAAACGATGTTGGCGTTCCTGTTGTGCCACCTGTGTGGCATGTGAACCAAACTAACATTGAACGCAAATGGACAGCATGGCAGTTTGGTCGTACTGAAAAAAACGTGTTCACCTCCGGTGCAAGTGTTTTCCCTTTCCATGTCAAAACTGAACTGCCGACATGCGGCATGCGCATCTGTTTCTACACGTACTACACCCTTGTCAATGCTGTCCAATAAACCTCTATAGCCTACCTCGTCCTTGCTCCTAGTAGCGATGCCCTTTCCTCCTAGTAGCGAACATTGCTCCTAGTAGCGATGCCAGGAGCCCCCAGTAGCTTCTTGTAACTAGTAGTAAGGATGCTTCTAGTAGTACGGCCAGGAGCTCCTAGTAGCGTCCTTGTTACTAGTAGCGATGCCAGGAGCCACCAGTAGCGTCCTTTGCTCCTAGCAGCGACGCGTTCGTGTCCATGCCTCTCCGTAGTTGGGTTCAGATTCCAACGAAAGATAGCGCACAATGCTGGCCGGTGTCCGTATGAGCCCTTCCTGGGCCGGATTGGCGCGATCGGATTTCTCGCCAGAACAGACGAGATGATCAATTCGCCAGTGGGCAAGAAAGCAAGGATCACTCGAGCACTTAGCACTAGACTTTGCGCAATCCAGTTCATAGCACACGGCTCACTTAATTGCAAGCGATGCAAATATCACTACACCCAAAGGCGAAGCAGGAGCTTTTCTTCCACTTTGAAGTCGGTCAGGTTTTATGAGAAGGCTAACATCACGCCTGCATACACAGAAGTGACCTAAGATCTGATCCTGCCTCCTGAGCTAAGCTGCTAGGCAAATTTGAGCGAGTGGGTGTTGGCCTCCCCTAATTCTCATCTGGGTGCAACCTTTCTTGGGGCTACATACAACTTCACAAAGTTCTGATGAGAAAGTTCCGAGTTACCATGATTTGCTGACAGCTCGCGTGCATGAATGAGAGTATGCTGAAAAATATCTCTGGAGGTGAACGGGATGGTACCATGACATGCCACATCGTCACATTGTCACACAGCAACACGTATTTTCTGTAGGTCTGTATTCTAAGACTTCCCACCCAAGGGCCAGAGCTTATCTGGCAAACTGCATGACAAGTTTATGGCGGGACCTTTGAGAGATCTCTGGGTTGAAAACACCGTGGATCCTAAGAATACGTGTCCTAAACCTACCAGGTTGCTTACAAACAATACTTTACTGGGGAGATACAGATACAGTAGGTCTACTAATTATCGGCGAATCACCCATCTTTACTATAGGGGCTGTCCTACTACAGTAAACGAAATGGTTTGAGCGTCTCCTGTGGTATCTATGCACTCTTGAATGAAAAAAACGCTTACTGTCTTGAAGACTCAGCGTCGAAATGTTGGCTCCCATCCAGTCCGAATCTGGCATGCTCCTGGAGCAGGATTTGATGCACGACGCAGGTCCCGATAAAACACTTGATAAGCATGTCGGGCAAAATCACAGCCAGTGGCATGCTACTGTGGAATTGGATCTCAACTGCTGTTTTTTCTTGAATTCTTTGGACACGTCGCAGGTATCGATCTCACCGTGCATTCCCTTCTTCGTTCATGCCGTGCTCTTGTCGCACCTTCCTGACTCTTAGCCGACTCAAATGGTTGGCTTCAAACCTGAGCCTGAGGGCGCATCCAAACCTGAGCCCCGAGCCTGAGGGCTCATACACCCCTCCAAAAGTATTGAATCTTTGAGGTTTGCTCTTTTGCTACTTTCCCTTCAAAAGGCTGATCTGAAGTCTAAAGAGGTTCAGAATCGAAAGGGAACCTTAGTAAAGCCGGAGACTCTGATCAAGCCTTAGCCAAAGTCCATGGATGTCGATTCTCAACAGCAGCCAATGGCTAGGGTTGTTTGAGGGAGTCAGGAGCATTGTAACCATAGCACAGCCAACCAGGTAGCAGTTGTTGGAAACCCATCTTTTTACCAAGCGACTCATCTTGAGGTGCGGTTGCATGTGCGATCTGTTTGGTGAAGGCACTTCCGTGATGAGGATTCTGAAAAGGTGCTGAGGAGACGTCGGAACTGTCTGAGTTGAGTGTGCGGTTTCAGCAGCCTTGCAGCAGCCTTGCAGCCTATCTAAAACTAACAAAACCCTAACAGTGGGTCTCTTACTGCCCGCCAAAAAACGCCCGTGGCCCGCCATCGCGTTCGTGCCTCTGGGCCCAAGGGCTTCAATCTCAATGCTTTGTCAACATGAAGATGTGCCCGCGAAAGCTCTGATGCCTGGCCTGCAAGAACCACGGTTTCGAAACTCACGGAAACTGGGAAGCGAGAACGGATTTTTCAGACCAGATCTGACCTTCTACTTCCCTATCGGCTTTGGCGTCGAGAAACAGGCCAGTCACCGCCTCGACGAAAAGAAAAGTCTGGGGCGACGACAGGGCGACTGCGGACTTCGAGGACTGCCGACGACTCCAAACTGTGGTTCGTCCTCCACCAAGATCCTATCCACACGAGAGTTTTGCTGGGGAGGAACCAGCAGAATGAACATAAACACACCAACGTGAGGGAAAAGACCTGCAGAATGCCAAGCTTGGCAAGACCTATGGCAAAAACACCAGCAATACAAAAAAGCCTTGCAAGCACCACGGTTCTCCCACTGGAAAATGGCACAGTTGGAAGGAACCAGAGATTCTTCCACAAAGATTGTGACACATGATCACGTGATGTCATTCAGGTTCAGTTTGCAAGTATGTCTTATGAGTCCCACGACATTGAATCCAACAGGAATCTCAATCTAGATTCAGCGCGTGCACACGCGCGACGCCAGTGAAGCTCTGCCAAAATCCTTCACCATCGATTTCCGTGGCATGTTTCTATATACTTCCTCATCTATTCTCCACTCAGGCAGTTCTTCCCAGCCTTGCACGAGCAGCTCGGTGGCAAAAACGATGGCCGCGCAGCAGCCGCTCCAGCGGTCCCTCACACCGTAAACCAGGTCCAAGGCCTGGTTGACGGCACCCAAGGACGGCGCCAGACTAGGTCGCGTCCGATCGCTCCGCTTCGTCGCGTCCGATCGCTCCTAGTAAGGCCTGGTTGACGGCCCGTTCGTAGCATCGCTGTCATGGGACCTTTGGGTCCTTTTAATCGAAACCAAAGAAGTTGACAAGTAACATCGTCTAGTTTTGACATCTAGTGAGGGAATTCGCACTTGCGCAGCGAGCCGCCAGAAGGCGCACCATTTTCCGTAAATGCTGCTCAGTTGCACCAACGCTGTCCAGCAAAATGACGAGCTGAGCATTTCCCAATCTGCATTCCTCTTGGAGTTCCTGCGAAAGTTTGGATTGCCCCAACAAAATTCTGCATTGCTCGGAAGATGATGGTTTTGAACTCCCTAATGCCTCGCGCAGCACATGCTTTCTGATTCCTTGGAGAACACTGACACCTACCTAGCAGTAGCACTGATGCTTGGGTATCTGCGTTGCAGAATAGCCGCGATGTTCTTCAACTGAGCAGGTCAACTTCTAGGTGGCCAAACTTGAAGCCAGAAGGTTGTGTCGATGACTATGTATATTTGCCTAGTGCTGACATGGGTAGAGCCACATTGCAAGGCAAGCTGACAGATTGCAAGGGGATGCAATGCGCGTTCCAAGATGGGCAAAAGGCAGTGTCCGCGTCATGAACCTTCGCAGGCTGATTTGCAACGCACCACTCGCATGGTGCGCTATAAGATCACATGCTGCTCATCAGCTTTGCATCCAGCGGTTGACGTGTCACCGAAACACCATGACCTCAATGGCTGCGACAACACCATGAACCCCCAAGAAACCCAGCAGTTTTGGCCACAAGTTGTGCAGCGATCTGCTCTTGTCCACCAGCGCGACTCCGACTCGCCATATCTCACGGGCCAAATCCAACGGAACGCGTGGAGCGGAGGCCTGGATTTGCACCAGCGACAGCAGGTAGTCCTGCTGTAAGGTTTCGTAGACAACCTCTGAGAGAGAGGTGGAGCGACCCTCTGTCAAATGGCCGACACATGGTAGAACCCATGCAAGTGTCGATCTATGTTTTCTGCAGATAAATCACTGCCCTGATGTCCCGCCGATACGGAGACAGTCGTGTCCATTTTCATTGTCTGACTTGAGATTCAACCAACATGTTGGTGTCCAGTTGCAAGGCTTCTGGCTTACAAACAACAAACAACTTGTCCATGCATGCGGCTCATGAATGTTGAAAACGAAGATCTGGAGTTGACAGGATTGCAAGCCCCAAAAACAAAAGGAACAATGAAGCGTGAATACACAGGACCCACCCTGCCGCCAAGCTTGTAGTTGCCAAGTCGCCCGTTTGTTAGGATGCCCACGCATTGGGCAGTCAGCATAAACTACGACGGTCTTCTCATGTTCACGAAGCTTTTGGTGTAGTTGCCATAGAATGCAGGTCTTGCCTGACTCGTGAAGACCTCAATTTCAGCGAACTCTCTTTTTACTCAAGGAGCAAGTCTCTCTAAATATAAAACGAGACTATGGTGGTGACGGCACTCGACATGACTGTCTTGTAACCTGTTCACCCCGGAAATGAGAGCCCTGTAGTACCTCACCCAAAGCACTAATAAAGCGCCGTCTTCTCGAATGTCTTGGTAAAATGGAAGCCCTGCCCCAGCACGCAAACATTGATCCAATTTCTGAACGCAAACGGTGAGAACAAAATGGTGATTGGTCGTCTTGTCTCCTCAAGAGTGAAGCCATGGAAGCTGTCCACATAGTGTTTTGTCCCAAAGTTTGCAAAGGTTATCTAAACGCTGTTTCATTCCATGTATCAACATTCTTAAACCAAACCAAGAGACCTTGCAACGCAATGAGTTGCAGTTTCTTTGGCGTCGCGTCTTCCAATGCGGCTTTGGCCAGCTCCCAAAGGCACTCCACCGCGGTCTGCGTTTCGTTCTCCAATGGAAGGTCTACCGAACGTGAGCCTCACAGAACAGCCGAAGGAGTGACAGCAAGGGAGTCACAGCGGGAACGGTTCGCTCGTGCCACAAGTCGGGTTCCCCCGACTTGCTTGGGCAAGTCATAGCGAAAGACCCATATCCCGAAGAAGAGTCCATCAAGAGAAGGTTTGCTGGGTTTGGACAAGGAGGGCAAATATTGAGGACAACCTGTGCAAGGTTCAAGAAAACATTCAGCGAAACCCCATTGCGGTCAAACTTGTGTTCATTGCTTGTGTTCTTTACCCATGGTTTGCTTCATAAAATGTCTTGCCCTGGTGCGTGTCCCTTGGAGCCCTAAAACATAGAACTGGACGATCTGCTGAGACACATCACATCGAGCACATCTGGCAAACTATATAACTTAAACAAACACTACAAGCATGATGTAGACTGTTGATTGATTAAGAAAATAATGTTCATTTTAAGAAAAAAAAGACATGTGGAGATGTAAAATCATATTAATCAATCCATATCAACCCTCTACCTCTCTTTCTGACCTCCATTTCGATCCTCCGTTTCGATCCTCCCTTGCCCCGTGCCCCACCGGTGGGCGACATCTTCTGCCGCAGCAAATCATCGAAGAGGTTGCTACGACGTTGGAAGAGCTCCACCATGTCTGCACCTCAACACGGTCACAGCTCCGCGGAGCGGTTCGCGGAGCGGTTCGCGGAGCTTTTCTCTGCGGCTCTCACCAGTTTGGAGCTGGATACAAACAGGGCTGGAGGGTGGAAAAAGCCGAAACTCATAGAGTGGGGACGGTGTCTTGGA